TATGCACTTGAAATTAGACATCTGATTTTTTTTCCATTCCAGCTATCTAGCGATCAAATGAGACTCGGAGACCTGTCGTACGCGTCACAAGTAGAAGAGATCAATATATGGTCAGACGCGGGGATTTAATGAATCTTGCGTATAAGCACACCATCACTTGTGAAGTTGAAATTGTTTGGCCATACGTACATTCGACGCGAGTGGATGTGGAAGAACGAGAAAATCATCACAGCGCAGAGTTATAGTTAAAAAAAAAAACAAAAACAAAAACAAAAGAAAAGAAAACACTAAACCTCCAACAAATTCCGAAGCAGCTTCGCGTCCAAATTGTTCGCAGCAAGTTCGCAACGCGAAACACCAATCAGGAAGTTGGATGCGCGCAACTCACGGTGCACCGGATCCTTATTAGCAGCGGCGAGCAACAGATTACATAAAAGCTCCCTCGCGCGCACGGATTCGTTTGCAATTATAAAGGGCTGGAATTAGCCAAGCGGCGCAAATCATTACAACCGCTCCTCGCGAGGCGGGGACGATACACGCCTTCGACCTTTGGGAAGTTTATTCAATTACCGTGCATGCATTTACAACTCGGGCTCGCAAGTTTTGATCGCGGAGAGATCGCACATGTCCGCGTTATTAATTGTCGTCATCGTCGGTGAGGTATCGACTCATATTCACGCGAATCTCGACTGAGCATTTTTCGTTTCCTCGCACGCGTTTTTCATTCATTCGTAGGAGGAGGGTTATTTTTTTTTTTCTCTCTCTCATAGAAACGACTTTTCGACGCTGAAATGGGAAAAAAAGAGGCGATCGGGTGCAGGAGTACGGTATAGGAAGGATGGGAGTCGATTTTGTTCGAAAAGTGGAAATTCATCGGGAGGAGCGTTTTGCTTCGGCTCTGGATACTCTGGAGATTCGTGCGAGATTGCCGGGTGTATAGATATATAGAGCGCGTGTGTGTACGTGCGGGGCCACAGTAAAGAGCCGGAAATTGAAAGGGTATCTTTTTTTTTACGTTATTCGAGAACTGAGACGCGGGCGTGGTGGACTTTTTTTTATATTTTTTTTTATTTTCATTATTTCCGATTTCATTTTGTACGCACCCTTGCCTAGCCCCTGGCTAAGATCGCCGAGACGCTAATCAACGTGGTGCTCTTTAATTTGAGTAAACACAATTGCGAGGCGCCCCATGGATGGAGACGACTCCCTTGTCGTGCTTACTCCTCTACGAGTACTTGTAAAAAATTATTAAGTTAATCAACTCGGAAGCTGCACTTCTAAAATCACTGTTTTACAATGCTTATTGGTTAACATACACGTGCATGACATAAAAAAAAAAAAGTTACGAAGTACACAGTGGATGTTTTAATTATTCATAAAAAAAAATCGATTTGAAAAATCTTGGATGACGAGCAAGGCTATCCGGATGAAAATCAAAGCACAAAAGTGAGCGAGCATCATATCTATCAGAACTAAAAGCGGAAGAAACAATTCCACCGCCGTTACCTCGATTCCCGGCACAAACAAAAGACGAAGGGTGATGGAAAGGGGGCTTGGTGCGTGTAAATTAATTACCCGAGTTCACCACGGGGGCAACTCTCACGGTGGGCTTACGGGAAAAGCTCTGGCCGAAGGGGGAGAGGAAAACAAGAGAGCCGAAAACAGTATAATTCGACGAGGAAAGAGCCGAGAAAGAGGGGGGCCCAACCGTTACCGCAAGAAAAAGCCCGCACGCACCTACAACCCTGCACGTGGTTTTCTTTGTAAAGGGGGAAGGGCTCGTGTTGGAGGTTACTTTACTCTCCCTCCCCCACTCCCATGAGAGCCGGGAACGCACTTTGCCTTTGTTTTTTCATCATCCCGCGCACTATTTTCTCTGCCCCACGATAAATAACGGGGCGGGTAATTGAAATGTTTTCCTTTTTTTCTTCTTCCCCCGATTCTTTTCCCTTTGGCAGCTTCGAGCTTTTCCGTCTTGGTTAACTCGGGAAACGGTATATGATGTTGCGTGATGATATGGTTAGCATCGGAAAGTAGGTCAACTTTCGTAGAGCCATCGCAAGAAATCACCGATACGTATCGTGGTACAATCAAACGTACATCTGTGGACCTTGACGGGGTAAAATCCATTCAATATTTCAACGATGAAACTAAATTACATTTACCACGGGTGTTGGGGGTAAAAAAGTTTAAACTCATTTTCACTACAACGCGGCCGGGTAAACACGGCCCACATTATATAATGGCGTTCTGATCGGTATAATGAACGGAAAAAAAAAAATTTTCCTTCCTGCATCCTTTTCCCCCATGCCCGTCTCTGCAGCGCTCCCAATATTTATGCCCCTCTTGGAAGCACATCCATCCCCGAGACCCGTCCCTTTTCCTCCTGCACTTGGGGGTCTCAGGCCGGAGCACCCTGTTATTCTTCTCCTCCCCAACACTCGGCCACTCAACGAATTTCGGCAGTTAGCTCTCACGCGTGTGTGTACACACTTCTCTCCGTCTTGCCGTTTTCCGGCTCCCATTATTTTCACTCCCCCTCCCCCTTGTGCGATACGTGTATAAATAATAGCTGGTACTGCTGCCGCGGGAGTTTTCCGGATGAGCGCATTTGCGGGATTGGCGTCATGCACGCGTGGTACCGTCTGGTTTCAACGAGAGCTGGATGGGGCTGGTTGAAGTAAACCCCACACCGGCCTATCGGTCGCGCTCGCTCCAATCGATCCAACCGAGCTCGACTTTTACAATCTCGCGTCGTCTTGTCTCTCGCCTACTTTGCGAAAACTCAGGGGAATGGCGAGCAATAACGCTTAGCCGCTACGGAAGGAAAAAAAAAAATAATGCGCCAGAGGGACGCGAAAGTTTGGGGGCAGGGCCGAGCCGTAAATTAAAGAGGGACATGTATATATATGGAGGCGGGCTCCCCCGCGGGGCGAGTGTCTTTTAAATACTTAAACCGGGCGATAAGTGAGTTTCGGCTGTACGCGAGGGCCGAACAATGGACGGCATCGTTACGTTTTCACCTCTCTCTCTTTGCAGGCTCAAGCTCCCTGCCCACCCCTTTCCGCCGTAGTTGGCCGTCTCGGGGGCTCAGCCGACCACCGCCAACCAGTCATTTCGCACTAACAGACCGAGCAACAACAACAACGTCTCACCTCGTTTTTTCCTCTTTCACTATGTGCCTTTTGACGCGCGCGGGAGCTGACAATATGCTTTCACGCGGATTGCTTTTTTCGTCGTCTGCGTCTCGCTTTTTTTCCCTCCCCTCCGTGTTGGAACGTCACCCGTGCGGGCATGTATTTAAAAAAGGGGGAAAAAAGATCATGGGCGTCGCATCCTTTCAATCCTCGCTTCCTTTTTGCGACGACGGGTTGTCTCCCGCGGAGAGATCGCGTTTGTTTAAGGGTTGTTTCCCGGTGTTGGAGACACGTGCTCGGTATTTTTTTTCAAAGGAATGGATAGGGCGTTGGTTCAGGGACGGGAGTTGACTCTCCAAAAAATTTTCTCTTGTACGCGAAAAATGTTGTCAGGGATGTTCAATATTAGTCGATGCCACAGTACTCATTCATGTCCCAATAGTCGATCATTTGGCTGATTTTTTCAACATAAATTTTCAAAACACGGATAAATCGGGTAGTTATTCGGACAATAAAGAATTACTTTTTCATTACAAATTAACGTGTGTACCCAATTGAAAATACAACTAAGGCCTATACAGTAAAAAAGTGACCGACTATTGGGACATTCCGTTTACTTAAGTGACTGAGTACTGGGACATCCGCCGTAGCTAATGCTTCTTGACTGAGTACTGGGACATCCGCCGTAGCTAATGCTTCTCTTCTCTGCCAATATATTTGAACTCACCTACTTATACACTTTCTTGTTTGCGGACCTTAAATTTACCACTCTATAAAAGCAATGGTATAAACAACTCGAAATTCGATGTTGAATTTCATCCGAAGCCTCAAATATACAGCTGAATTGTAGCTCTTCTGACATTTATATTTGTACCAAGTAGAGCGTAAAAATCGTGGGAAGAGCACTCGATTAAAAAACTAAACCAATTCATCGGACCGACCCGAGGAGTCCTCTGTCATACGACTAATACATACACCTACGTATGACCCCTTGGTTTTTAACTTTTTCCATACGGGCTCTCTGAAAAACGCTAATTTGCACGGTTGTTGAAAAATTGTCCCGGTCGCGCTCAACTTTCCGATGAAAAGTCGCGCGCAATTACACCGAGTAGCTCCAAACAAAAAATTAAATCCACACGCCGTACGCACGTCAAAGCGCGGTGAATCCGTTCGTTTGCCCGAGGATAATTTTATTCGACTCCCATCGTCGCACCCCCCCCCCAAACTGGGTATATGAATACCCGTCCCCGCTCGCGATACACCATCGTATAAACTTTGCTCTTTGGACAACTTTTCAAGCGGTTTCGTCCATAAGTGGGTAGTCCAGCTGCAGTTGTGGATATAAGTTTGAAGGAGTTTTCTGTGACACAAAGGGGGCCGGGAGTGTGGCACTTTCGGTAAATTTTTATTCCATCGTTTATCAATACTTGAATTTCCCAGCGAGTTGCTTCTCGTGACATTTTTTTGTAAAAAGTTTACTCTCGCATGTATACATTGGGGGTAGTAGAAAAAAAAAAAAAAAAAATTACAAGGTACCTCTGTGACGTACAGTATCTAGAGCCTTTGTAAGTTCGCGCCCAAGACTCACCTTTCACGGCGCATGAGCAGCGGATACAGAGTATGATGATCACCTTTCGGCGGTAGGCCCGAGCGTTATCAGCTCTCCCGCTCAGCCTCCGAACCTAACACCACGCACACGACTGCTCTCGCTTTGATCCACGAATAAACCGACATATACTTTCTTCCACGTGTATTATATCCCCTTACACCCCCAAGCTCCACAATTCCCACGTAACACCTCCATGAAATTCTAAAGATGGAAAGGCTGTAAAGAAGAAAAAAAGCAAAGGGGATGTGACTCACGTTGGACATGTTGGCGTTGGAGTTGGTGGGACTACCGGCCGAGTTGTTGTGGCCCTGGTCGGTCTTGAGTTCCCTGTGGTGGCTGTACTGCACGAAGACCGATCTGCCGCGCAATTGGGCCGGCATCGTCGAGTAGTAGTTCACCGCCTGGGTGGCCACGTTTTCGTCTGACATTTCCAGGAATGCCTGTTGAAAAATAAGGAAAAATTAACACATGTTTGTGCGCTACATCAATTTATGACGTCTCATCAATTTTGCACGATTGAAGCCAGTATGAAAACCGTATGCGCATTAGCTCCAATGATTTTTGTACCACACCATCAGTCGAGAGATTTTTCGGGTTTTTTTTTTTTTCTCCTCCGAAGTACGAGTATACGGCGCGCAAAGAAAGAGCGGCAAAACCAATTCGCGCTCGGATATAACTCCTCGTCGGCAAAAAGCAGGCAAGTATAAGAGGAACTCAAAGCACGGATGGAGGGGGCGCAACACTCCGCAGAGCAAATCTTGGGAATTACTTTCGGTAAATCTCAGAAGCGCCAACCAGCGCCGTAGACTCGTTTTTCGCATACATTTTAAATCTCTCTCTACTTTTATATGTATATATAACCTGCTCTCTCTCTCTCTCTCTTCTCCTTCTACTTAATTATTTTCATTTAATCCGACCCCACACTCCGGGGTGGGCCTTTCATCTGCATTTTTTTTTCCAACACTCCGATTTTCATCCGTCCTCGTCTGTACTCGTCTCCTAATTGGTTAAGGTGATTTGTGGGCTGGATTTTCCCACTGGCGTGCAGTTACTGATGCGCCATACCACACGCAAACTCAAAGTTCTCGCCGAGTCGTGTTCGCAAATTGTCGCATTCAAGATGTTTCCCTTCGCTGATTACAATCAAGGTGATACCTTATCGAGATAGTAAAAAAAATGGACTGAATGTTGGCCCAAGTCAGTTGTACGAGATCATAGAGTTATGAACAAAAACGGAGATACATTCGTACAGTGCAAATTGAATTCATTAATCTCCCGTACTCGTGAAACAACGCAAAACGAGCACGAGTAATAAAAACACGGTAAAGTTACTTTTCGATGATAACACACAGCGAACGAGCACCTGTAACACGTGGTCAACTAATCATTCGTCAAAACTGCCCCCAAAACAGCATAGTACGCGCACACCGCACAACAGCGCATAATAACAACACTACAGACACCGACAAGGACAATAATATCCAGAATACAAGTCCACTCACCGCCTAACCACCCCCTGTCCAGCAGAGGCTGTTCTGTTGCCACTACACACAACTCAAAGGGACCCGCACATCATAGCCCATCGGTCAAGTACTGGCTGCTGATGCTCCTGAAGCCACAGCGTCCAACATCAGCAGTAGCATCGGATCAACCAGCAATAGTCGGTATAATATACGTATACAGCATGTGTACACACCACGCTATGGCACAGTTTGCGCTAATGTCCGCTCACGTTATGGCACATTTCGGTGTGTGTACGTGTGTGGTGTGTATGTATATATATATTTGCACAAACAAGACGACGACAACAAGCGTGGCGGCATCGCGTGGCTGATGTACTCGAACCGCGTTTACGTGTTGAGGCGCGAGTGCGTTTGTGTGAGTGCCAATGACGCGGCAGGGAAGGAAGGAAGCTCAACACGAGGGGCTGTAAAACAAGGCTGGCGCGTCGATGACGGACGTTGTACCGTACTGTGTTATTTATGTACGAGGAGGGAAAGGCAAAAACGTATTTTCTTAAATAGCCGATGTATCAAAATAACCTATTTGATTTTTACCGATAGCTTTCGAGTCTGCCTCGAGGGAGAAAGTCGTGGCTATGTTTTTTAGGGATTGCCAAAAAAAACTTAGGGGCCAAGCAACGACAACAAGTAACCATCGTCATAATCATCGCGCCTCCGCCGAGAAAAAGGTGTGGGATAAAGAGTGAGGGATGAGTTTGCATTATACATCTGCTCTCTGTGCTCGGGAGGGGGCGCGCACGGAGATGGATGGAAGAGAGAGAGGAAATAAAGAATCGGCCGGGCGTATTTGCGTCACATAACTCTCTTTTTCCTTTCATTAGCGGGAATCGATATCGATAAGGGGCCAAAGACGAAGGAGGTGAGGAGAAAGTTCATTGAAGACACGTATCCCCCGCCCCCCGCCCACGAACTCGCTTGTAGAGCTCAGTCGTTTATTACTGCAGCAGATGGAGGGAAAAAAAGGGGGCGGGAAAGGGGAGACGGGAGAAAGCAGCTCCGAGTCTCGAGAAATGATTATCCACTCGCATTCGCGCGACAAAAGCGAATGATGGGAAACGCGAAGGGGGTGGGGCGGGCTCTTGAATATATATGTATCTCGTCTAGCGTCGGAGTGGAGCTTTCGCACGCGAGCGTCTAGTCTCTTTTTTTTTTTTTTTATTTATTTGCGCCGATATTAACTATCCGAGATGCAGACGAGAAATACTGAAGAGAGCGCGAGTCAAGTTGATTGGTGAAAATGTATCTTATGCGATTTTGAAGGACTTTTTCCGGCATTGTTATTGTAATTACGATTTTAAAATTTTTTATGATGAAAAAAACTTTGCTCTTAAGTCATTGATCTTAGAAATGATACGATCTTTCGAGTAGGGATCTGGTTGCTTTCTCTATTAAGTACAAGGAGAGAAAAAAATTATAAAAATTGTAGGTAAATTCCAGCAAAAAATTACCATTCGGCACAGTAAATTGGATGGAATAGAAAAAATTACGGTTACAACAGAAAAAATTATCATCCTGGAACAGCAAACTTTAAATCGATGGGTTGATAAATTTAACTTTCCCACATAGAAATTTCAACTGTTAAAACAATAATCTTTACTGTTAAAAATAATAATTTTTTCTTTTCTGCCAGCTTGCATCTGAATTACAGTGCAGAATGGCAATTTTTTCTAGAATTTCTCTAAAATGTATATCTTTTTTTTTTCTCTTAATGTAGTTCTTGGCATCTATTGGGAACAAAAACTCAAAAATAGCACCACCAGCTCCACTTTTACCTGAAGACATCGACAAAGTATAATTCTGTAAATGACTACACTCAATTCTCACAAGGTCAAAGCGATTCCAGGATTTTTTAATGAATCAATTGTCACTTTAAAAAAAAAGGCCAGAGACAAAAGTATCGTTGATGGGAGAGGCGAGCGAGAGAAAACACGAAGGGACAAAAGAGAGCGAACGGGTTATAAATCTCCCAGGAATAGCCCAGCCTACAGCTTCGCTCGGCTCTAACTCAATTTCGCGCAAAGTGCGCGTCGGCCGGGAGTTGTCCTCGGACCGCCCGGCCGAGAGAGCCATTGAACGGCAGCACGGCGCGCAAAGTCCAATTTCCGAAGGCCCAACGAGGAGGTTTGTCGGACGGCGGGTCATCAGGAAGCAATGTGCCAGGAGTCATATTTTCACCCCTCCCCCGCCCCACCTCCACCCTTCGCGATTCTCATCGAGAGCTGACCCTTTTTTTACCCCTTTTCAGCTTAGCCCTCGAGGTCTTTTCACGACGCGCACAGGGCGATTTCATTTTTTGCAATTCAACAAGTTTCAGCGATGGCCCATTCTTGAGGTTCTTTTCTCCTCGTGTGACTGAAACGCGAATTTTTCGTTTGGATAACTTTCAAAAAGGAAAATGCGCTTTTGTTTCAAGTGTTTGTTTACCTAACGAGCCGGTGCGCGCTGCAACTGTGTCGATCCGTGGTTGTATGCACATCGTTAATTAATTAAGGAAATCATTAAATGACTTTTGAGTTGTTGTGAGCCTTGAAAGGCGGTCATGAACAATACATGACTTGAAAACTCAACGAACGAGCTCAGATTTATTTAAACCCCGTGTGTGGAATCGTTTAGAAATTTTTATTCTAATTTCGTCATTTTTCACATATTATTGTAGCAAATTGGGGCATTCCAAACAATGCTAATTGGACATTCTTTTGGTTAAAAAGAAAAAAAAAATTCATTTTACACTGGAAACCTTTAATGTTTAGTTTGGAAAGTAACTTTTTAACACTCCACTGAAAATTTTTCAAACAAAGTAATTTTTGTCGTAATAGTTCTTTTACAGCGTGAGGAAAAAAAAATATTTTGATAACGTTTGAAATTCCACGTCTGACCAAAAATAGTTTATTCTTCTTGGAATGCCTTTTCGACAATTTTTCAACTAAATTTCTCCAAAATCGTGTCACGATGCAGAGCAAGAGTGTACCACACACCCTTTTGTCCTCCACAAATGCCAGAGCACGAGGGAATCAGTAATGGCAATTTTAAATCGATTTTTTTTCGCAGTTGGTCTTGTTTTCCTCTTTCATGGTGACGATCATACTGCACGCTGGGGAACGGTTTCACGTTCTTTTTTTTTTTTTTTTTTTTTTCTATATCCACATATCTAGAGGCAAAGTCAAGGGCGATATGGTTTTTTTACTACTCCCGTTTTCGCGGCTCTTATAGCCATTTTGAGGTTTATGGAATGTGCTATGATGTGGTGAAACTTGTTAGAGTCAATGGCGGCATTAAATTTTCTTTTGTTGCAGTTTTTCAAGTTGCGTAATTATCGAATTTTACACTTACAAAATATCTGGCATATAACGTTTCTATAAATAATAGGTACATAAAACTTTAACAAATTATAGAATTGAAATTTAAGAGATGATTTCGTCATAAGGTACCGCATCAAATTAGAGACGAACTACTACAAAGTGGATTAGTGGTAAATCATTACCAAAAACTTTGAAAATATTCCTTATAAATGGTAATTTCTGACCATTTTTGTTAGACATTGGTAAGTGTACATGAATTGACAAATAATAATTCACAATATATGGAATGATTCATCAAGATTATTTAACTTTGTAATCGTATATACAAAAAAAGTATCACGCCATCCTGTACTTTTGCATTTCAATGATTTAGAAAATTGTACGAAAACTCTTATCCATTACCTTACAAGTCAAACGCATTCTCATACAAAACGTTATCATCACCGTCGCACACGCAAAAGCACTTGCGCTGTATGCGATAAATCCATTCAGCAACAAAAGGTTAACCACCGAATTATTCCCGCGGTGGAACGTACAGCTTTTCTATTACAATGACACATTTTGTCCCTTTGTCCATCGTTTCGCTTCGGAGTTACCGCTTTAAAACTTACTCGACGA